GTTATGAATACGTTAGATACCGTTGCAAAAGTTAAAAATTTCGGTATTTACAAAACTTATTTGCAAAAAGCTCCCCACAAAATCAAGCCTTTACATTATGAAGAAATCCGGCTCTTAGGGAAGTGGAATACGGGAAATCCAACTCTTCGCTTTATTCAGTACGAATGCCAACCAAATTAATTTTGTTTTTAAATAATTACTCGGCCGGCAGTTATCGGAAAAATATGGGACAACCTGCCTCTGGAAAAATTACGACGCATCCGGAGACACCTTTCGGGACCGTTTTTGATAACGTTCACTGCAACTCATTAAACCGTCAGTCACTAATTATGTTTACCAAATTAGGAGCGTTCAAACTGCAATACTCCTTAATCCAATTAACAACGAGGTCTAATTGGTATATTCCAGGCACACCGACTGTTGTCGGTATCTACACACAAGCAACGCTGCAAACTGTTAACGTGTAAACACCTCGATTTGGAACTGGTTTCTGTCCTGGTTTTCACGTATTGTTAGAAATTAAAATGCTGCGCTGAAATCTCAAAATATTAATTGTCTCTCTTCTTCCCGGTTACAGCAGCTTTCGGAGAACAACAATTTAAATATTCCTACCGGAACGCTTAGATAACTGACAAATTCATGACAAAACGTAAGTGCGTTAACGGCGGTAGAGGAAACAATTATTTTTTATACAAAATAAAAACACAGACAACTACTACTACTAACGGAAGTTTCTACAGGCTATTATTATTCTAAATAGGTACTCAAACACGAAATATGATTTATTGATCATCAGATGAACATTGTCGACGCAATTATTACAATCTGTAACAGTATTTCTGTTCGGGATATTTAAAGTTCACTTTTACGTAAATATGGCCGCCATGAATCAGAAAGGAAATTAAATATAAGTAATAATCGCGGTGTAAATAGAATTGCGTTCACCATATGTAAATAATGTCAATTAGGGAAAAAACTGCATATGAATATCGAGTATTAACGCTAGGGTCAAAGTCCGAGTCATTGTAAATAATTAATCTAGAGCTAGTAGAACGATTTGAATCCGTCTGTTCGCTATCGCTGTCAAATTGGCAAAAGCTTTATTCACGGGCGATCAGTCTTTATAAACGAAAGTGGATTGTGCGCGTAACGCAGAAATGAGGCCACGAGATAAACACTACGAGTACGAGAGTATAAATACGGAAATTTCCAAGGCACGTGGCGCAGTGGATGCGCTCACCGAGGTTGTGGGTTCGAATCCCGCTGCCGACGGCTCTGTCTGGGGTTTTGTCAGGGGGTTTTCCTCAGACATACGTAGCTTCGCATAATGCATTATGTTGAAATCTACGAGGCGAATGCTGGAGCAGTACTCTCCCCCTCAGCACCCTAACTCCGTTCCTTCCGTTCCCATCCCTAACTTTACCCATCCTTACAATCCCGTTCTCTGGCTGAAGAGGGCCAGGGAGCCCTGAGCAGCCCGCCTCCGGTATCCCTGTAGTCAGGGGTGCCGGAGGAATGAAACACGTTGGCCTTTTTCCTTTTTCTTTTACACCAAAGCAGCAGTTCCCGCAGTCTTTTCACGGAGCAACATCTGTGCCAGTCGCGCCAGTAAATCATAAGCGCGTTTTCTAGTAATAGTGAATTGAGGCGACTTTTTTAAGAAAATCAAGAGAAAGAACCGAGCGAGAACATCTCCATCCAGCCACTACATCGAAGGCGAAGACGATCCTTCACGACACTCCGGAGAAAATTAGGAGGATTGCGAGATTTCCGAAGAACAGATCCATTTTCTGTTCTACGCGCGGTCCGTGCACAGTCTACTTGGAGGGTGCCGAAAAAGTCGGGTTGAAACCTGCCTGCCTGTGATTGGCCGAACCGAAACTCGGAATAGCTGCTTGCAGTGGGCGGTCCTGAGTTCATTTGATTTCATCATCGATCGGAGCGAGGCCAAGATTGCATTCCGAATCCTAGAGCACATTAACAAAAGACGTTCAAGGTATTTATAAACCAGCAAACATGATCGCGTTGCAGTTTATCATCTTTGTTGTTCGCCCCGTCGCAGACTATTGTCATTTGAATTTGTGTTATTGTAAAGGCGATTTAATCACCTACTAGCGTTGCATTCAAATAAGTGCTTGTGAGTTGTGAGCACTGTTTGTTTTCATTTTAACGACTCGTGTCTGGAGGCGTTACTACACGCATTTACAGCAGTTTGTTTTGATTTTCGATCTAATAGTATACTAATTTATGAAACAAGAATTAAGTTTCTTTCTCGGCGGTTTAGAGTAAATATATAAATCAACCCCCATTTCTTTTGGCATGTGTTACTTACAGAAAAAAGGCGATTTTCTAAGAGAAAAAGAACGTAATAGGTTTTAATAAAGACTTTTGATTTTTATTCATTTATCCTTTCCCATTTCCTCGAGGCCAGAACAGGATCATCGACTAGCTAGCCGGCGTTATTTATTTACTTTATGTAAGAAGAACCCCCCGAAATAAAGTAGTTTGAGAAAGAAAAGGTAGGAAGAGTTGAAAAGTAACCAGCCGGTTACAAATCTCGCACAATTAACATGTGTAATCATAAATGATGATCATGCCGTACCTACCTCCGTTTAGTCCATCTTTGGGTGATCGAAAATTCATTCTCGCAGGGTTTTTCAGTTTTTGGGTTCATCGATGAGATGTTAAAGATGAACTTCCGTAAAGGACATTAACAGTCGAGAAATTGTTAAGGAATGTTTAAAGAGATCCACTGGTTACGTACCAACGTTTTGGGACAGTGGGATAATGAAAGCGAAAGGTGGTTGAATTCAGTGCGGGTTTCCAGATTCACTGGTGGAAAGTTTACTTCAAAGATGACAGGTCTATACAGTTGTAACGGGAGCCCGCTTTGCATTAAATTTTTTTACAAATTTTTGAATATATGGGTAAAATTTCATGTAGGTATACAATTTTGAACGGCGCGGGTCAAGGTATTAATAATAAACGTACGTCGTTTAATAGTGGAGATAATACAGGTGTGTTTATTTAGGGGTGATCCGCGAATTGCTTTTATCAAGGTAAACGCCAAATATTTCGAAGTGCGTCTATTGCGTATTTAGAATGATCACATATATTGAATTCCGAGGAAGGAAGAAAACAAAATATTCGGTTACCGTGGCAACGATATATCAAAAGGAAAATGGAACTTCAACTCTTCGGCCAACCGAATTATTAAGTAATATTTGGTGTATTTAAAATACAAAATAAGATCACATTATGTAATTGAAATACAAATGTATTTTAAATACTGTATTTCAATTACAATTATTTGAAATACTGCCCATTGCCCAACCCTGCCTGGGGGGTTTTATTTATATTAGCTTAACGCTAGCCAAGAGTCTAGAAAAGTCAGGAAAGGCCGAGTGTAAGGGACACCCTGTAGATATGTAGAATGTACAAAATCGCTACGTGACAGTTAGACGAGTGCGAATTACAATTTCCTTTGTATTTTTTACTTTATTGTGCACTGTATTATGTTCTCAATAAAAAGAGTTTCTATATTCAATAACTTCTGCGATGTAAAAAAATTTGGTCACTTCTTGGTTAACAGGATACCGAAGCCCTACGATTGACCGCAATGCCAAACAAATTCGTGTTATTAATAACGATGTGTCAATTTCGCTTTATAATTTTTAAACTTCAGTCTAGATGTATGAAAATTTGAACAAAATCCATATACGGATCTCCACGGTTGGTGGATAATTTTATACTATACAAACGAACATACGTACAGTCGAACAGACAATGCGATCTACATAAGTTAAAAAGCCATTATGCAAACATAACTGACGAGAGCGTATTTTCCTCCTAATAATATTAATGCTAAGAGCTGGAAAAAATACCGATAGGCACGAGATCCTTACCCCATTCTCTTTCAAATGAGCCGCCTATCATCGAAATCTATACAGTTTAATGAAAAATAGTGGAGCGTATACTAATACGTACAAATTTTGAAATGGACATTAGTTTTAATTTTATTCGAAGTGTCTACAAATAGAACTTTTTAGAAATGCTTTCGTAAATAGCATTGTGCATTGTCTACATTTGAAATTTCATTGACTACCTTCATGAATAAAACATACAGCATGTTTTAACAGTAATTTTGAAACCGGTATTAGTTTTAGTTTCATTCAAGGTGCCTACATATGATATTTCGTTTAACTACTTTTATAAATAACAAAAGTTGCCATTGCGCATGCGCAAAACCAAATTTTAAAACTGGTGTTAGATTTGCTTGTTATTCAAGTGCCTTTGTATTAAGTTTCATTTAAATGCTTCAGTAAATAAGGAAGTTGGCAATGTGCATGCGCAAAACCAAATTTTGCAACTGGTAGATTTGTCTTGCCTAATGCCTTCGTTTAAATGCCTTCATAAATAAGAAAGTTGGCATGCGCAAAACAACATTTTGAAAATGTCGTTAATTTTACTTATATTCGTAGTGTTTACATATAAACTTTCATTTAAATATCTTCATAAATAAAAAAGCTAGCATCGCACATGCGTTACACCAAATTTTTGACACTGCGCATACGCAAAACCAAAAAATATGGGTATGCACGGAATCCTTGGACCAAGCCCTTTCAAATGAGTCCTATATCGCCAAAATCGGTTCAGTGGTTTAGAAGCAGTACGAGAGACGGACGGACGGACGGACGGTCAAAGTGCAGCTAATAGCGATTTTTCACTTCGAGGAAAATATGTTAAGAAGGAGCCTCCAATCCAATTTAAATTTTAACGATTGATACCTCAAGTAACTCAATTTTTGGTTTAAATGCCTTCAATAGGTGTTTACAATTATCCGTTATTTTTTCATCCAAGCAATATCCCTTCTCGCGCATTATCGTTAGGAAGCGGCGTATCGGAGCGTTTTTATTTACCCCAATCTCGTTTATCAATCAATATCCGGACTATAATAAGCCATGTACAATTATCACATTAGTGCTAACTGGAGAATTGAGTTGCTATAATTATGGAAAGGAGTATCGTAATAATTTTTTTTCACCTAATTTTGGTGTTGCACGGTGAAGGTGAGTGGGAACTTTTTCAGGATTATCTACCTATCACAAATCTGTTTTATTTGAAGAAATGATGAACGACTTTCCACTGAATGTTGGAAAGGAAATTTCCGGAGTGCTCAATAAAGGTAGGTACGATACGTTTTTAAATCTGTCGAAATAAAATTGTACCTATTGCAGTAGAAGAAGCGACTCCTCTTGCGCCTATTTTTGATTTGTTCGGTAGAAGAAGCGGAGGTAAGTAACTTTTGTAAATGTATTTATTTATTTTTTCCACGTTCATTGCATGCATAAGTACTTCAGTCGAGTTGCGAAATGACCCAAAAACTCATTTGCGGTGTAGATAATGAACAATTAAATGTACCTAATGTATTTCATTGAACGTAACCTATTGTGGTTTCCAAACAACACGTGAAAGGTTTGTGCAGAGAGACCCAATTTACAGCACATACTATGATAAAAATGAGTTTGGAGCAGGATACCTAATATAATAATTAATAATAACAGATAGACAACATTCTTTCGTCTTGTACTTGTACCTACTCACCGATGACGTACCTAATTCATCTATACTTACTCGTATATCGAAGTCACGTTATTCTCTTTATTGATTGATGGTGGGTTCAATACTTCAAACGCGAATTGCGGGCGAAAGGGACGTCGGATGTGAGTACCGAAAAAGGGAATGGTAGGCTAAGATTTTACTAACGGTGGAGGCAAAACTGGCTAATAGACTACTGACCTGCCACACGAAAATTCGCTGAAGTCCCTTCGATCTCATACGAAGACTTTCATAATGTTTGTCAGCCATTTTTGAACCGAATTGCATGAATTTCAAACTGGGCATAGCCAGTTCCCTATGAAATCAAATGTAATGTCCATCTAATGTATTGTATTGTCAGGGCTTAAATCGTCCACGGTCTAGTGTTAGCATATTCAAATGATGTCTTTGTCCAAAAACAAGCCCCCTCCAGGGTGCGGGCCTCTGCTAGCAACTAGACGCTAACGAAGATGCCGCGAGCAGCGTCCATTGAAGCTAATGTGACGTTCTCAAGATGTCACCAATAAAAGAGATCTGTCATGAGAGAAGTCGGCCTCCAGGCTTTTTTTCATGGTAATTGCTTGAGGATGCTCTAATTTTGGCCGGAGAGATTATGGGTATGATGTTTACAATGTGTGAGTGATGTACTGATTCTACGATGTTCGCCATCCATTGCTTAGGTGAACGTCCGTTGCGCTGGGGAGGGGTTGGGACGGGGGGGGGGGGGAGTCATGGGCTCTAACGGGGCAGTCTGATGGGTTGCGTTAGGTTAATGTGCTTGTTATTTTGAACATATAACCTCTCTCTTGTATTGTAATTGGCTCTACGTGTTGCGGTATGCGCTAATGTCACGTTTACTCCACCATGCATTGTGGAAACATGAGAGTTCCAAATAAGTTTATCCGTTAGAAATGACGATTTAGGTAACACCACAGGATATTTCGTTTGGTACGGTAAGGACCTTTCCTGTAAACGGCCTCCTAATCTCATTATATCGTCTTCATCACGAAAGGGGCTTAGCGTTAAAACTCGAGAAGCGGGTTCAATTTTTTTACCTCTTCTTAGGTCAGCTATTTCACTTGAAAAATGCTGTCCTTGAGTTACCTTTATCCAATATTTTTCAGCCTCCTTTAACTCTTGAGCCCTCAAGCTTCCAGTTCTTTTGTTCTTTTTATTTCTTAGATTATGGAAATATCTTTTAACATAAGCGGTAACGCGAAAGATTTTTTCCAAACTACTGAATCTCTCAAGGTTGAAGATTGGTTCGTTATTCTGGATTACTTCTTCTCCTTGTACGAGCAAAACAGATGCTTCAGATCCTATCGCGATGTCTTCTTCAGGCCATTCTTCTGGTTTAAATTTCAGCCAATTAGGTCCACCAAACTTCCGATGCCATAAGACCTTTAGATGTTACACCCCTCGTTAGTAAATCTGCTGGATTCTCTGCCCCTGGACAATGGCGCCATACTCCAACTGAGTTCTTCTTAATTTCAGTTACACGACTGCGTACATACGGTTTCCACCTGTCAGCTTTGCCCATGATCCAATATGTCGTTATTTTCGAATCGGTCCGCAAAGTACAGGAGTGAAATTTCACGTCAATATTTTCAAGTATAAATTTCTGAAGTCGAGTTGCACAGACTGCCACGGTGAGTTCCACTTTTGGTCACGTTAAGCTCTTATCTCCCTTTTTGTCAATTGGAGCTACTCTACCCTTAGACATGATAAAGTTACATTCGACTTCGTTTTCGTTAACTACTCTGAGATACGCCACTGCTCCATACGCCTTTGGGCTTGCGTCCGCAAAAATGTGAAGTGAAACTTCTGAGTTTCTGTCTTCGAGTGCACATCTGGTAAACGAAAAATGTTTCAAAGCTTTCAATTCAAAACACCATCTTAACCATTCATTGGTGAGATTATCAGGTATGGTTGAATCCCAGTCGATCTTAAGTTTCCAAATTTCTTGGAGCAATATCTTTGCTCTTACCAAAAAGGGACTCATAAAGCCAAGTGGATCATAAATTTTCGATACTATTTGTAGCACCCCACGTTTCGTTATAGATTTATTATCGATTTCATTTAAAACTGAAGTTATATCTACTGCTAATTCGTCATCGTTATGGTACCATAAAATTCCAAGTACTTTCTTGGCATTAACGGTTTCCTCGCAATTCATCAATTTTCTGAGCGAAACGTCATTGCTGTTCCACTTACGTAAATTCATATTAGCCTTAGCTAAAATTTCTTTGGACTCATGGTAAATACGTTCGGCTTGAGTTACGTTATCAACTGCTACTACCAAGTCATCCACATAGAATGAAGACCTCAGAATTTCGCAAGTGTCTGCTAGATTTTCCGGCTGCGATTGTAAAAGTTTCTTAAGTGTAACCGCCAGCAAGAAGGGACTGCACTTAATCCCAAACGTTACACGTTTCATTCGATATTTTGATATTCGTGGAAGATTATTGACGTCATCAATAGGAACGCTATACCACAAAAAACTGTGAGAATTACGATCGCGTTCTGCAACTCGTCCGACACGAAAGTTCATTAAAATTCTTAAAAGAAACGGCACTAAATTTTCGCCTTGCAAAAGTACATCATTTAAACGAAGGCATAACAGCGGCATGCGCCGACGCGTCAAACACGATCCTTAATCTTGAAGTGTCTTTGTCCTTTCGATATACCGCCCGGTGCGGCATAAAATAAGTTCGAATGTCATTTGTCACTTCCGGTAAAAGTTTGGCACAATCATTGTTCATGTATTCACGCATCGCACAATCGTATTCCCGAAGTTTGCCGCGTTCGTGGTGTTTGCGCGTTAATGACTTTAGCCTATTGAAGGCACCGTTAAAATTAGAGTCAACCCGTACGTTTGGCTCTATCCAAGGCATGGCAACACAATATCTATCGTTTTCAAAAGTTATATTCTCATCTAAAAAGTGTTTAGTATGAGATTTGTCCGTCACGTTATCATTGTTTATCCCGATTGTTTCAAGAGTCCAAAAGTTTTCTAACCCGTTACCAACAGTCTCACAATCGAGCTCGCACTGTACGTGTAAAATGTTCGCCACGTTAATCCCGACCGAAAACGCGTATTCGTTAAAATGTCCGCTGCCTACACCGTGAATTGTCCAACCAAATTTGGTTTCGATCGCCATCAAGTCTTCAGTGATTTTCTTCGTGTTACTGGTCACTATCTTCCAATAAAAATCAGAACCAATTAAAAGCGATATTCCATGATGAACGTTAACGTTAGAGTCGCACAAATCCGCTAATCGATAATTTATCCTGAACTCATGTATCAATGGTTCTTTTAATGACGGTGCGCTCAATGAATCAAAGCAAATTTCGGGCACTTCAATCGCGTTGATAGTCACCTCATCGTTAATATATATACCTACTCGCTTTTCAACGTTAATGATACTTTTCGACATAAGCGAGCCGGAGCCCTTTCAGATTTTCCAAAAGGCATTATCGATATTTTGTGTGTCCCTATAACAGGTAAGTTATGCTTTCGTGACACACATTCTTTGATAAAAGTTAAATGGCTACCTCCATCTATAACCATACGTAAAAAACTCTTAGGTACGCCACTGTTCGTTATTATTTGTGCACAAGCGGTTTGTAAATAAATTATTTTGCCTAAGCACCCGTTCGCTAACAAATTTGTCGACTCAAATTTACTACTTGATGCGTCTTTTTTCGCGGATACAGTTACAACAGTTGCAGATTTCTTCTGATACTCTGGATCACACATAGACGTTGCATGTTTCGCTTTACACTTTGCGCAAGACACATTACTCGACAAAACCTTGAATTGTGATTCGACTTGGTGCATCGGAAACAGCGCCCTTTAGATTTTAAAATCTCTTTCTTTTGCGCCAGCGTTATTTTGCTATCACAATCCATCGCGCCATGATCGTTAGAGTTGCAAAACAAGCACTGTTCTTTTACAGATGTAAGCAGACCTGCTGCTGTGCACGTTTTATCACTAGATTTCTGAAATCTATTTTTGTGAGCTGAATTTTTCTCGTTACTTTTAGGCTCATCTTCCAAAACTTTAGCCTGTTCAATTGATTCCACTTCTAACTTAATAAAGTTTAAAAGTTGAGAAATTTGATGTTCATATAAGATTTCTTTAGAACTTATGACACTTCCAGCAACAGACTCGTCATCATCATTATCGTTAGTTGTGACCTGTCGTTTGAGGAATTCAGTTCTCATATAGTAAAGGGTAGTGCTTTTAATAAAATAGATTTCACCATCATCCCATAATTTTTTGGAGACACTCCCAGCGTCTGCAGAGATCGCGTTATTTTTGAAGCTGTATTGTATAATTTTCTCAATGAAACATCATTTGTGGTTTTGACTGGAGTTAAAGCTAACAGCTGTTGAGTGTAGTTATCGGCAATTTTTTCGTTATTTCCGTACTGCTCCTTTAAAAGCTCAACTGCATCTTTATAGCTTGAACTACTGGATGTTAAACCTTGAACGGTTATTGAAGCATTTCCAGTTAAAACAGACTTTAAATATGTAAACTTAGAAGATTCCCCTAGATCATTATTATTGTGAACAGCAGTCTCGAACTGCTCCCAAAAGGCAGGCCACAGTTTATAATCACCGTTAAATTTTATTAATTCTAATTTGGGTAATCTCACCGCCCTTTTGGTTTCTGCTCTTGTAGAAGCTGCTCTGGCTGCACGTCCTTCGGCTGTAATGGACCCCACGTCTTCTTCGACGTCGGCGACGCTGGCTGCATATTTTCCACCCGCGCCTGATAGTTCGAATTCCAACCTGGCAATCGCTGCAACCGCCTTATCTTCGTATTCGATAATTTTCTCGCACTCTGATTCAATCTTATCGACGGGTATCTCACTTGCTACTTCAATATTTACGCGCTTTAACGAGTCGTTCACCGATTTCAGTCTGTTAATTAAAACAATAGCTTCCTTGTGGTCAACCGACGCATTATCATCAGACATTTCGTTAGCCCGATCCACAAGTTTCGTTAGCTGTGTCCGATACGTTTTCTTTAGCGCTTGATTCATGATATGCTTCCGTTAATGCACTATTTTGACACACAGTTCACGTTATGACGTTAATCAAATTTTACACTTTTACTGTCAATACCGGCACGTCCGTTATAAACCGAATTGTCCGTTATTAAAGTTCCACGATTCACTTTCCTCTTTCCCGGGTTTCGGCACCATGAAAAAAAGCATCGACAATTGGTAAAACACGGTATTTAATAGTGCTTTATTTATCAATGAATTAAACGATTCACAAACAAATACGTAGGTACAATACGTTACTACGCTAATGTCAATATTTTTTCCTATTTTTTCCCGCCTGCTGCTTTTTTGCTACCCTTGATTATTCACGGGATTTTCCACAAAATTGAATAAACAACCTGGATATTAATCTCAAATGAAAGGCACCTACACCTATGGAAAATTCTACTTTAACTACTTACGTATAATAAACTATATTATGCCCTAAATTAGATTAACAACCCCTAACACGTAATAAATCTGACCCGGACGTCAAAATTAATTAAGCTAAGAGAATTTTCCAACTCGCAATTGAATTCCTATATAAGTGTAATTGAAGCGGCATGCTCTTCTACGTATGTACATTAGACAACTACGTATGTGACAGCCCTAACCAATAAACAAAACTACCTACCCCTAAATGCGGCCCTTAGCTCAACTGTTAACTTATTTATTATGAACCTTGCGCAATGCTTCCCTTGCCAATTCAAATTTATAAAGCAAACACCATAATAAATCGACAAGCATGTAATGCAAAACAAGTACCCTACAACCTATTCTATCCCTACTCAATTCACTATACAATGTCGTTAATTTATTTTCGTTTAGGAGTTGTACCATCGACACCGGTTAGATTTGGAGGTCTTATACCTAGAGGAAAAAGTAAGTGTATAATACAGTTGGAAAAACATATCATACAAATTTTGTAGAAACAACTGCAATTCCACTGAATCCTACAGACACTACGCCTTCGATTATGCTTACTTCATCGGCAACAGAAGCAGGTAAAGTTGCATTTGATAAAATTGCAATTATCGTTTACTTGGTTTTATTATTAGAGGAGACAACTAGAGCAGGTATTCGAGGTGGTGGGCTAATTCGTCGAACGAAAGGTAAGTGCCACTACACATTGAAATAATGATTTTAAACCAAGGTATTATTAACAGCAACAACTACCACAACAGCAATTACACCTACTGTATCAATGACGGAAGCATCAGGTAATGATCTACGAATAGTAAATTTAGGTAGCTTAGCACTTAGCAGTATATTTTCGATCACACTTTTAAGCCTACCATACACGCAACCAAAGAGTACCTATACTCTTTGACGCGACTCTACACCTAACAGGTATACCTGTCAGATATCCGGTTGTGTGTATGGAGGGATTGAAGGGGGCGCTTTGCCACAGGTGTAACGTACATGATCCCCATTATGCTTCTACAAATCTACAGGTAGGTACACTTGCAGGTTGTGTGACACGTACATTCCGGTGCGCTTCACGCCTATACAGGCAACCTGAACAGGTAAGAAGGGATACGTACGTTACCTACCCTAGTGGTGGGCTTTAGACAGAGTCGATCGAAACGAGGTCCTTATGAATGAATACTCCCAAATTAATGTATTATAATCATGTGACACATTTATGAAATGTTCCTTTTGTAATTAGAGGATGAAACACCTAAAGCCAGTCTGCGAGGTGGAGGTCTAGTTCGTAGAACGAAACGTAAGACGATTCTTACCGTAAATATTAGAATCAATATTTATGTGTATGTATTGTTTACAGTAACTACCACCACAACAACAGTGGGGCCTATTGTAACTACCGAGGAATTAGGGAACGACGGTAAAGCTATTCTGTTCTATTTTGATAAAAAGAAAGATATGGTCTCCTTTTGCTACAATGAGATGTCGTTGTTCTCGTTGAAAAAAAAAGGGATAGTTTCCACGTGATGTCAATCGTAAGATAAATGGCAATGTTTTCATCAGGAATAAAGATCACATGGTGTTCGCTCCACTGGGGTTTCGATCCCGATAAGGATAAATTCTGGACTGACTGATTTTCAGTTAAAAAAATAATTTTATTTTTCTACATAATCTCTCTTGACTCCCTTGAAGGTGTAACGGTTAATTACCATATTTGAACCAATTTTTATTACTTCTACGGCGCTAATACATTTACACACTTACATGGAAAGAGGTCCTTAAACAAAACCTCAATATGATAAACAGTAGTTAATCAAACTAATTCAAAATTAAACCTTCCCAGTTAAGTTTTGTTAAAAGCCCTGTTGGCTAGTTTTTTAATTTTTTACACGTGCCCGTAATACCTGCAAGTGCCTTTCTTTTAAATTTAAATTGCTTAAAACCAATAAAATGATCTATTTCACAACTAACTGAAATTGTTAATAATGATAGATCACTAGAAAGGAAAGAAAAACTTGCGAAGTTTATTTAGATATATTAATTACCCCGCACGCAGACGGTCGAGAATTAAAAAAAGAAATCTTAAATTAATTTAAGTTTTTTTAAATAATCCAAATAACCTGATTGTACGTTTGCGATATTAGACGCACTTAACTCACACACAAACGCTGTCGACAGCCAAAACTGGCTTGATGAATAAAATGACAAAATCGGTGGCTGTTCGGACGATAGAAACTTTTAACTTTTAATAAGAAGAGAGTCTTAACCAAAGACCTGCGTATTCAACTAAACAAATGAGACTGCCCGAAAATTTAGCGTAAAAAAATGTATACGCTCTTCAAGTTTCGTTTTTTACTTTCAGTTCAGTATTTAAGGAAACACTAGTTCTACCATATTATAATCTCCTTTAAGAATTTTCAAATAAATATGTTTGAATAAACTCCATCCAATATTTTGTATTTCCGCGACTACACGTGTGTTACTCTGCTGTAGAAGAGATGCGAAGGTCTTCTCACAAACGTCCCCATTTCTCCACGCGCAACACTGCGAAACACCAGTATTTCTTATCAACGAAAAACACGTGGGTTAATTAAATTTTGCCTAACGATACATCTCATTATGGCAAACGACCAGATATAACCTTATTTTTAATCTAAATTGAATAATTTAGTAAAGGAAATGGAATAAAATTAAAACAAAAAATTACGCAAATTTCTAAGCGGAAAAACAAACACTGAGATACATATTCAAATAAAATAAACCAACTTTGCCTTTATTCGTAATTCTTACATAGAGGATGTCCCGTCATTATTTCTGGTGTTTAGGATGAAATCACGTCTACATGACTTTGTTTACAAAACATTATGCATAAAATTTTGCTAACAATTCAATGGTAATGTATAGACTTAAAGGTAATAAACATGTATACGTTCACATATAAAAGAATGATAACACACTAAGGCTATATATTGGGATTGTATTGTAACATGCAGAACAAAACAAAGTAAAACCGCATGGTACCTTTATCAGGAGCAGAATATTGGTTAATTAACAAATCTGAAAGATGTTGTCTTTATTTCCTTCACTCTACGAAAAATTCAATGTGTTTGCATTTCTACGATTTACACCAAAATATGAAACAAGATAATTGAGTTGAGAATTGAGAAAAATCACTAAATTTCGTACACTTTTGTAAATAAAATTCAATACGCTAAATGTCCTAGCAAAAATTTGAAAGTTATTAATTTTAAAGTGCCCAAATTTCATTAAAATTAAAGTGAGCGAACGCGACATTTTATTCCGATTAGTAGTCGATAAATATATGATACATTTTAGGATTTTTCGGAACTCTAAGAGATGACATTGGAACACCCTGTATACTTATTTTGAGTTACATTTATTAATTACCTTCAATATTCTTTTCTAAAATAGAGGATGGAACTACTCAGTCCGGTATACGAGGAGGAGGATTAGTTCGTCGAACAAAACGTAAGTGAATTCATCATTTTTCCCATATTTATATTTTATGCTTATCCCTCGTATATACAACTCGAGGTGACTTGAAAGTTAAACTTCGGAAGCTCCCTTGCGATCAATTTTGCTAATATTACTCCATTTGGTGCTGTAGAATTGAAAAGTACCTCAAAAATAAACGTGTTCCTAAGAATGCAGCAAATGATTTATTAACGAGCTCCTAGCGAGTTTATAATTTTGTAGTGTCTGTCCGTCCGTCCGTCCGTTAGCACGATAACTCATAAACGAATAGACCGATTACGATGAAATTTTGCAGGTGGATTCTTTATCAAATTTGTAGATCGGAGTTCGTGAATTGGCAATGTCACCCAAAAAATAAAATAGGCCCTTTTGACATCTCCGTTAGTTATGAACCGAATTGCATGAAATTCAATATGCGCATAGCTTTAGCCATAAAAAACACAATTCCAAAAGTTGAGCCTAATCGATCAACATTCACAATGCCCTTTGCGCATCTCGACCATTTACAGACCGAATTGCAAACTTTCTTATTTATGAAGGCATTTAAATGAAATTTGATACATAGCCACTTGGAATAAAAGCAAATTTAACGCCAGTTTCAAAATTTGGTTCTGCGCATGCGCAGCGCAGTTCCAATTTTCTTATTTATGGGGGGATTTAAATGAAATTTGATAGATAGCCACTTGAAATAAAAGCAAATTTAACGCCAGTTTCGAAATTTGGTTTTGCGCATGCGCAGTGCCATCTTTCTTATTTATGGAGGGATTTAAATGAAATTTCATACATATAAACTTTAAATAAAAGCAAAACTGACATCAGGTTTAAAATTTGGTTTTGCACATGCTATAGCCATACCCAGGAGCTCGTTTGCTATATTTGTTTAATTTATTATGCATCAAGAGAGAGTTGCGTCGTTTTCTCAACAAAATCAACGATAATAACGGTTTTGTCAACTTTTGATCCAAATACGCCTGATCAGACCAATGCATTAAATTATGAATGCAAGTGATCAAGACATACATTTTGCTTCCTATTTTTGTTCTAGCATTAAAACCTAATCAGTATCTGCTTTTTTTACAGCAACTACTACCACAACAACAGTTGCTCCTACTACATCAGTTGGTGACACAGGTAAACTTTTGCCGAAACATTTTTTGAAATGTAAATACACCCGTGGAATGCTTTCTGCATTATAGTACAAGATCTCACATAAGGTCAACCTTCGGTCATCTGTTTACCGAGTGAAATATATTTTTTAGCAATCAGACATTAAGGGTACATAGTTTTAATTTTGTCTTTTAGGCAACCATTTGCAATGTGTCTGTTTACATATTAAGATAACTAAAAGAAGTATTTCACTCGCTAAACAAATGGGCGAAGGTTGGCCTTACCTGCGATTTTATACTATTAGTTTTTACTGTAAACTAGAGCAAGTAACAACGGAGACAGCGCAATGGGGTGGGGGACTAATTCGAAGAACAAAACGTGAGTTTGTTGTTCCGGATGAATGATCTCCACTACATTATTTTATAGGACCAACAACAGTATCAACTCCAACTCAACCTGCAACCGTTCAGGGTAACTATTCAAAAACTATAAAAATTAGGCACTTTCACATTTTCTGGACCAGAGCAATAAAAAAAATGAAAGTGGACACACATTTAGACACCAGTGCGGATTTCGCACTAAACACAATTTAATTTGCTAATATAGCAAACAAACAGCTTCTAGAACATTCTCGAAGGTCATATTCACAGAAAGAATTAGTCACATCCGCTTTTATACCGTATCTCTGATGGCGCTTTGATAACGTTCTAGAAAATTCTCTACGGTACATTTATACCAAGAGTAACACGTATCCAACTGGGACCCTTTCGGTGACTCCCTGAAAGGTTAAGAGATGCAACGTATTTTCAAAGCCCATCAAGTTGCTTAAAATTTTCCAAAACGTCAACCATTTAATAAACCTTTCTGACTCTTAAATAATGGTGTCACCGTACCTGCATTTTAATAAAGACCATCTACACTGCTTATCACTGTATATTATTGTTAATTAGAGCAACTGACAACGGAGACAGCGCGTTGGGGCGGGGGACTAATTCGAAGAACGAAACGTGAGTTTGTTGCACTGGATCAATTATCTCCACTGGGTATATTATTTTATAGGACCGACAACAACGGCAAGTCCAATTAAACCTGCACCAATTCCTGGTAATTATTCAAATGTTTCCTAACCGTTGGGCTAGAAGGAAAAGCAAAAAAAAACTATAACTTGCATTGCATTCCCTAAATGTTTCAGGGCCGCCTCTAACACCGCCACCAACAGGTTTAGCGGCAGACATAGGAAATCACACCTGTAAGGAGTCACATGGTGAAACAGTTTACCGCAAACATTCCTACCATTTTAGTTAGCAAAGATGGAGTTAAATTCGAAAGATGGAGTTTGGCCGGAACACTCGATACCATTGTAACCATACCGAAGGTCGCTATTAAAGCAGACATCCCAACGATCTTATCCATCGAAGAAATCGATGTGGTAGCTACAGGCGTAACAGTTTCAGACGAAATTAAATACGACGTCTTTTTGGACAAAGATGGAAGAACCACGATTAAACTCGCGATACCGAAGGGTGTAGCTCCAAGCCGAGTGGAAATCAAAAAGGGCGATGGTAAATAGTTGCAATGAAAATATTCCAATGCACGTACAGTCTTGTTTGTTTCAGACGACATCACTATAAACGTAGCAACAACACTAGACGGGCTTTTTTCTGAAGGTTAGACACTATTATTCTATTTGACTGTATTTCAAAACCAGATTATAGCAACTGGCCCTTCATCTTCAATGAAATTTGAATCATCAGAGCTCAATGCCGAACATATCACTACCATTACCTTACCTTTCGGTTTCAAGACGGCGACAAAGGGAATAACCTATACGATCGATGGCATACAAGATGTCGACCTAATACCATCAAATACTATTGGTAGAACACTTCACTAACCAATTAATTAGTTTTATCATAATCTTCTTTCAGTTAATCTTGGCGATCTGTCTCCTTCCAAAGGTTGTACAACTGTACTTAGGTTGAAATCGTTGTAATGCCGTGTTATAGGTGCGACTGAAACTGGAGTAAACTACGAAGTACTTGAGGATGATAATAAAAAAATTGTAGTCAAAATTATGGTACCTTCAAAAAAACCACCAGTTGCACAAGGTATGTGACTTGATTCCCATCTTTGCTGTTTCAACTTTTATAGGTTTCGCCATAAATTCAAAACCGGTCGTTTAAAGTTTTTGTTAACAAACGCTAGCACTCAAAATAAAATTACAATAAAAAAAAACAAAATGCTGCTTCTATGGACAACCATCAATAATTCTTCGATTTATCGGAGTTCTCAAGTATTGCTGCATTTATTTAATTGGGAAGCGCGGTTTTTTTAACATTGTTGTACACCCTTACAATTTAACTATCAATATTTTCATACTACACAGTTGTTCACGATCACTGTTTAATTGGTACTTTATTAGCGGTACACGGTTACCATCAACATTTTAATGTTGCGAACCGTCTTGCAGAGCCGCGTTATCCACCCCCCGGGCGACTTAAACACGTCCCTCATAACGTAGCATCTTTCAACTTAATATAATCTCATGATAAAAAACGCTAAAGTTACAATGTGGTCTTTTGTACGTATAAAATTTCCTTGTTCCAATGTAGTGAGTAAAAAATCATTCATTTTAAATCTTAATTTAGGCTACCAGGCGAAAATTCATTTTTACCATTCATTTGTTCATAAAACTATGTTTGATCTCTACTTAATTTAAAGGTCTACAGTAAAACCATATTCTAAAAGCCTCTAATTTTGAAAATAATGAAATTGAAATGTGTAGGTGAATCCGAGACAACTCCAAGAACTCCTACCGGTATAGGAAGTACAACATGTGAGTAAAGATAACAAAGAAATAGATAACAAAGAGGACTTTCATTCGTTTAGACAACAAGGATGGGGTGAAATTTGAACGCAGCAATGTCAATAATCAACTTGACACCATTGTAACTATACCGTACACGCAACTCAAGGGGAATATTCCTCACACACTACGTATTGAAGAAATCAGTGTGGCTAACTTTGGTGGTAAGTTCAAGAAAATTTCATTTAATTCATCAGTCCATAATCGCAGATGTAACGCAGTATGACGTTTTGTTGGACAAGGAAGGGCGGTCCACTATCAAATTCACTGTCCCTAAAGGAAAATCTCCAACTGTGGTGACCATAAAGAAAAACGGAAGTAAGTTACACTAGTAGTCCATCACTTGTAAATTTGCTCTCTATTTCAGATGAAATTGTTGCCACTTCCTCTACCAATATTGACCCTTCAACCGTAGCAGTAGGTACGTAAGTTATGACTAAGTACTGTACGAGTGGATAGTGAACCTATTTCAGAGGCTTCAACCGGCTTCAAACTTGAAATGAATGAAAAAGACGATGCGTACTTTACAACAGTTACGCTACCGTTTACCCCGGTCGATGATTCAAGTGTGCTGGCTTTTGTTCTTGAAGGAGTCAAAAATGTGGATAACATACAATCTGGAACAACAGGTAAAATGGTACTCTCTGCGGTATTGCGTACTAAATCGTTGTCATTGTAGTGGTCCTTGACGATCTGTCTATATCCAAAGGTTGTACTTTTTTGTTGTACTTGTGGTAAAAGTGTTACCAGGACATATTTTGTAGGTGTTACATCCGGTTTAGACTACGAAATTGCTTCCGATGGTTCTAACAAACGAGTTATTACAATTAAAGTGCCTTCTGAGAAAATTACAACGCAGTCAGCGAGTAAAGGTATTGCATTTGTTTTTATTTTTAAAAGAGCTATATGGTATGTGGTTTCCGAACATGTGACTATTCCTAAGTCACCTCTAGCTTTCGGTAACTTTTAAATTAACACCTTCTCATATATGAGTTTTACAAGACAGAGTTACGAGATTTTTAAATAAAACGTTTTATTTCGGAGAAATCTTCATCAACATTTTTTTATGCGGATAAGAACAGACGCGAATCGTTAATCTGCATTGAGGTCGTTTCGGTTTTTCTGGTTGCTACGATTTACAGATAAGAACTGTAAATTGCGATTGGTAGCTAGAGAACGCACGGAGAGTATTGAGTGTGTGCGAGCACTGGCGGAATACCTATTTCGTTTCGGGGGTTTTGAGCAAAAATACATCCAGAAGTGCGACCGCGAGAGGCCTCAAATTGTTATTTTTTATCAGCAAAGAAAAAGTTCGTTCTAACAGAGCCGTGGGGATTACGGGTTGAGCCGCGACAGACCTCAACTCGAGGTTTCTTTGAAGAAATTTAGAAGAGGGGGTGGAGGGGCTCAGAAATGGATCCAAATAACTTCATGCTCTGACGTAGAGCACGTTGTAACTCGAATACGGTAAAGGCCAATTAGGTACCTACGTGGGGGTGTGCCGAAGCAATTATTGGCATTTGAAAAAAAACAAAACATAATGCGTTCATATGCACACTTTACTATTTAACTTTTGCCGTATCTACTAACGTAGTCAACTGGAACTCCTGCTTTCACCTACTATTATATTCAAAGGTTTAATAACAACTGTAGATTATATATTATGTTCAGGTGAATCCATAACAACTCCAACTCCTGTGGGTTTCCGCACTTATAGTTTTATAGATGACAAAAATGGGGTGAAATTTGACCGAAACAATGTAAATAATCAACTTGAGACCATTGTAACTATACCATACGAAAAACTGAAGGTGAATATTCCGCATTCACTACGTATAGAAGAAGGCAGTGTGGCTAACTTTGGTGGTAAGTTCAAGAAGATTTAATTCAGTTCATCACTCAATAATCGCAGAAGCAAAGCCGTATGACGTTTTGTTAGACAAGGAAGGGCAATCCACTATCAAAATCACTGTCCCTAAAGGAAAATCTCCAACTGTGGTGACCATCAAGAAAGACGGAAGTGAGTTAGACTACTAGTCCCACAATTTGTACATTCGCTCTCTATTGCAGAAAACATTATTGCCACTTCCTCTACCGACATTGACCCTTCAACTGTAGCAGTTCGTAAGTTATAACTATAGTACTGTACCAGTTGAGAGAGTGAACCTATTGCAGAGGCTTCAAGCGGCTTCAAACTTGAACCGAATAAAAAAAACGATGCGTACGTTGCAAAAGTTACGTTACCGTTTTCTCCGACCGATGAATCAAGTGAGCTGGCTTTTGTTCTTGAAGGGGTCAAAGATGTGGATAACATACTACCTGGAACAACAGGTAAATTTCCACACTTGCGGAATTGCGCACTGCATCTTTCTTATTGTAGTGGCCATTGACGACCTGTCTACATCCAAAGGTTGTACTTTTTTGTTGTACTTGTTCCGAAATGGGTTACCAATCCATATTTTGTAGGTGTTACATCCGGTTTAGAGTACGAAATTGCGTCAGATGGTTCTAACAAGCCAGTTATAACAATCAAAGCACCTTCTGAGATGATGGAGAAAACTACAACGCAGTCACCGGATAAAGGTATTTTCACTATTTTTAGCGCATTTTCCAACTCGTGTTGAAAGGCGTTATTATGGTCACTTTCTCCGTCCACCCGTCCCTGCGAGACATTAACTACTCCTACAGTGTTTTCAAGATATTTACTTCGGTTTTTAGCGCATTTCCACAAAAATTTAAAAAAATGCGCTATTGTGGGCAATTTGTCTGTCCGTCCGTCCGTCCGTCCGTCCGTTCGCTCGTTCGTTGAGACGCTACTAGTTCTTTATATCTTAAGAGCTATTGTTCTAGTTTTTTCGCTATTTCGTTTGTTGTGGTGTCGAGGCTTGCAGCAAGAAAGGAATTTTTTCTGCGTTTATTGCTAAAAAAGTTATTGTAAAAAAATCAAAAAACCATTTTTTACATGTTCCGTAATTTTACACTTTTGCCGTTTCTTAACGATCCTAGAGATCGTTTATAAATTTTGTATTGCTGTCTGTCGTCTGTCTGTTGGTCTGTCCGTCTGTTCCTTTGTCTGTCTGTCCCACTATCTGTCCGTGTGAACGATAACTTTGTTTAGAAATGTCCGATCGCTTTGGCATCTCCTTTGGTTATGAACTGAATTGCATGAAATTCAATATGGGCATATAATAATAATATATATAATATAATAATAATACGCAATGCCAAAAGTTGAGTCGAATCGATTCAAAATTCACAGTGCCCTTTTCGCATCTCGACCATTTATAAACCGAATTGCAAACTTTTTTATTTATAAAAGTATTTCAATGAAATTTAATACATAGCCACTTGGAATAAATGAAAATCTAACGCCAGTTTCAAAATTTGATTTTGCGCATGTGCAGTGCCAACTTTTTTATATATGGAAGTATTTAAATGAAATTTAATA